ACACTTTCATAACATCTACATAAAGTTTGACAGCATCTAAAACCATACTATGTGTTGTATATAAATAAAAAATCTTGAAACTGACTGGGCATGGTGGCCCTCACCTGTAATCCCAGCAGTTTGGGAGGGCAAGGCAGGCGGATCCCTTGAGCCCAGAAGTTCGAGATCAGCTGGGCAACATGACAAAATCCTATCTCTTAAAAAAAAAAAAAATACAGAAATAAGTTCGGCATGGTGGCATACACCTGTAGTCCCAGCTACTGAGGGGGTGGGGGGCAAGGGAATGGGCTGAATCGGGAGGAATGCTTGAGCCCAGAGAGGTCAAGACTGCAGTGAGCCGAGACCATGCCATTGCACTCCAGCCTGGGTGACAGAGTGAGACTCTGTCTCAAAAACAAAACAAAGCAAAAACAAAAAACTTAGAACGAATAAAGAAGGTAGCTTAGGCCGGGCGCGGTGGCTCAAGCCTGTAATCCCAGCACTTTGGGAGGCCGAGGCGGGTGGATCACGAGGTCAAGAGATCGAGACCATCCTGGTCAACACGGTGAAACCCCGTCTCTACTAAAAATACAAAACATTAGCTGGGCATGGTGGCGCGCGCCTGTAATCCCAGCTACTCAGGAGGCTGAGACAGGAGAATTGCCTGAACCCAGGAGGCGGAGGTTGCGGTGAGCCGAGATCGTGCCATTGCACTCCAGCCTGGGTAACGAGCGAAACTCCGTCCCAAAAAAAAAAAAAAAAAAAAAAAGAAGGTAGCTTGATCTCCAGATAACTTCCTTGACTCTGAACTCCTCTGGTAAATGTCTTCGCCATCCAAGCAACAGGCTGAAGGTTTGTTCTCTGGAGAGGATATAATAGATGTTCTCCAGACTGAGACACCAAACACTGTCAAGGGCACTGGTGATATACAGAAATTAGGAAGGTCAAGTGAACAGCCACCTTCAATATGAAAGATAAAGACCAAAACAATATGGAGAAAAAAGGAAGAAAATGAACCCAATATTCTAAGAATGAAGAACTCAATTGAAAGGCTGAAAGATAAAGTTGAGAAAGTCCTCCAGAAGTATATAAAAGACAAAGGTGGAAAACAGAAAGATAATGTAAAAGGACTAGTCCAGATACTCTTCAAATTAAATTACAGATTCAACACAGCCTCTATCAAAATTCGAACTGCCGCTGGGTGCAGTGGCTCACACCTGTAATCCCAGCACTTTGGGAGGCCAAGGCAGGTGAATCACCTGAGGTCAGGAGTTCAAGACAGGCCTGGCCAACATGGCGAAACCCCAACTCTAATAAAAACACAAAAATTAGCCAGGTGTGGTGGTGGGCACCTGTAATCCCAGCTACTTGGGAGGCTGAGGCACAAGAATCACTTGAACCCAGAAGGTGGAGGTTGCAGTGAGCCTAGATGGTGCCACTACACTTCAGCCTGGGCAACAGAGGGAGATTCTGTCTCAAAAAAAAAAAAAATTTTCCAACTGCCAGGCCAGGTGCAGTGGCTCACGCCTCTAATCCCAGCACTTTGGGAGGCCGAGGTGGGTGGATCACCTGAGGTCAGCCAACATGGTGAAACCTGGTCTTTACTAAAAATACAAAAATTTGCCAGGTGTTGTGACACGTAACTGTAATCCCAGCTACTTGGGAGGCTGAGGCAGTAGAATCACTTAAATCCAGGCGGCAGAGGTTACAGTGAGCCAAGATCAGGCAATTGCAGTCCAGCCTGAGCAACAAATGTGAAACTCTGTCTCCAAAAAAAAAAAAAAGGCCAGGCACAATGGCTCACAGTGGTAATCCCAGCGCTTTGGGAGGCCAAGGTGGGCAGATCACTTGAGGTCAGGAGTTTGAGATCACCCTGACCAACATGGCGAAACCTCATCTCTACTAAAAACACAAAAAATTAGCTGTGCATGGTGGTAGATGCCTGTAATCCCAGCTACTTGGGAAGCCGAGGCAGGAGAATTGTTTGAACTTGAGAGGTGGCGGTTGCAGCGAGGAGATATCGTGCAATTGCACTCCAGCCTGGGCAACAAGAACAAAACTCTTGTGTGAAAAAAAAAAAAAAAAAAAGCCAGAAAGTGGGAACAACTCAAACCAGATCATCTCAGTTTTGGTCTGGATGCTAGGTATGATTATTGCTCTGCCATGTGGCATATAATACATACAACAGGATAGTATTCAGAAACTGATGTCTGGATGCTAGGTGTGCTTATTGCTCTTGGGATATCTCTCCTGTGGAGTGATCCATGTGGAGACAAAACGGGACCCTCGATCAAATAACCCACAAGAAACTTAGGTCTCCCAATAACCATGGGGGCAAGTTTGGAAGAGGATCTTCCAAAACTGAGGATCTTCAGTTACCTGAAGTTATCCTTCAGATAACTGCAGCCCTATCTCCCAATAACCATGGGGGCGAGTTTGGAAGAAGATCTTCCAAACTGAGGATCTTCAGTTATCTGAAGTTATCCTTCAGATAACTGCAGCCCTAGGCAACAGTCTGACTGCAACCTCAAGAGACTGAGCCAGAACCACCTATTTATTATTTTCTTTTCTTTTTTTTGAGACAGAGTCTCACTCTGTTGCCCAGGCTGGAGTGCAGTGGCACAATCCCAGCTCACTGCAACCTCTGCCTCCTAGGTTCAAGTGATTCTCATGCCTCAGCCTCCCAAGTAGCTGGGATTACAGGCA